GCTTCTGTTGCTGTGTGATTTTTTTTTTTTTTTTTTTTTTACGAGTGAAGTCTTCGAATGAAACAATTTGAAGAAAATGGGTGGAATAGGAGTACCAGCTGTGAAAGGGAATAAGTGCTGGAACTAACTTCCTTCCATAAAACCCCGCTTTTTGGGAATAAATAGAAGAAAATTGGAGTGCCTTTAGCAGCCTAATCAGCTATTTCCTGTTCTTCTATTACCGTGTTCCTTAGAAATAACCAGAACTCTTGGTTGATATCAGTGTTCATTGTCTTACCTTTTCCAATACTTAATTTTTTATTTTTAATTTAATTTTTTAAATTAGTTTTTCGTGCTGTTAATTTTTGTCTTTTGCAGCTTTATGCTCTTTATTGCTTTCAGAGCCACAGAAGGAATGATGCTAAAAAAGAATTTTATTGCTAATTATTGGAAGCATCAGTCTGAGGTCTGAAAAGAGCATTTGGTGCAGTTTAAGACTAAGTTAACTATAGGGTACCCCTTGCAAACCATCTGTGTTGCTAGAGAGAAATGTTTTATTCTATGATGCAACACATTATGAAAATATTTTTAAGTAAAAAAAGAGACCTCATGCCAAAGAAAAAAACCTCTTGAGGGATGCCTGAACTCCAAAAAGTAGAGGAAATGAAACCAATAAGTAAGAATGTTTGTTCTTCAGACAAGGCTATTTGAGGCTATTAATTTTATTGACAAGATAAAAATACTTGACTAAATGCAAAAAATTAATCTACAGTTTCTTTTTATCTTATTCTATTTAGTCTGTAAATATGCTGCTTGTATTCCTTCCATATTTCTTGCAGATCTGAAAAGATACAAAAATAAGCTGCTGTTTAGTTATATTGACAGGTGACCAAAGCTTTATTTTATTTTTTTTTCACTTAAAAATACATTTTTTCAAGAACTTAAGTGATTTCTCAGACTCTGACAGATGAAATTTATTTGTTCAATAGCTATTTCTACTTTGCTTGATTCAAAATGTGAGTTACAAACACTTTGATCAATGAATCGAACAGTCATCTAGGTTCATTACACAGTAGTTCATTTAAATGCATCTCTATCCTTGAAATCTTGTAGAGCAGTACAAGTGAACCACAACAAATCTACTTGTGCTTTTTATGGGTCTTTATGGGTCAGAGTGGCTGTTAGAGACAAAAGACACTTCTGGTAGGCTCATGCAGACCTATTTTAACCTAGCTAATTTCACAGGAATGTTATCACAAAAGAGTTTGGTATGGACTTCAAAAGTTACAGAAGTTGAATAAATATTTGAGTTATGAAGCTGTGATGGGCTCAGCTAATGCAGATACTTTGCAAGCTGCACCTGCACTAGTTTAATACTCTGGGTATTTCTATTTGAAATCTGTTCTTAAAGTACTGTATGTTCCTGTATTGCAGTATGCTAAGGCAAAGTTATTTTCAATTAATTAGGTCAAAGTAATTATATATGCTGTAAATGCTTGGAACTATTTTTTGTTCCAATTCTAAAATTCATTAAAGGGTGTTGCTAATGAATACTGTTTGAAATAGATTATCTTCTGTCCTGGATCAAATTTCTCTGTGTTTGTTTCAGTGAAGTGGCAAATGGCATGATAGTTGGGGACAACTATGATCGCCGACAAAAAATCATTGAGATGGATACCTTTCAAAACTGTTATGTGAGAGTAAAAAAAAAAAAAGAAAGGGGGTGGGGAGAGAGATAGGGGCTGGGACATGGGTGTGTGAGAATTGCCCCATCAGGGATAGTTTTGGAAGTACTTTTCTCTCCAAATCATAACATGAATGAATCAAAGCACATCATGCCCCTCACTGCCACTGGTGGTAATCTCTTGCTTCAGCCAGCTCAGTTTCAGGTTGGCAAGCCCATGCAGGAGAGCTGAGCCTCCTCAGCAGTCTCTGTGGTAGACACGGCTGTAAGATCCCGGCTTCTTAAAAAATAAGCTTTTCTTTAAAATGTGCCCGTTTTCTTCTGTGAACCACCCCTGTACTGATGTATACATCCTAGTCTGAGCATCCGGCACTAAATCTCATGACTGAAATCTTTTGTTTCTCTCTCACAACTTTATTAACACTTCTAGTTTCCTTCTCTGTTTCTGTTCAAAGATTTCTGCTAGTGGCTGACGGAGGGAAAACAGTTTTTGATCTGCAGGTCCTATCGTATATTGATCTGCCCCGAATGTTGCTCAATTGAGATTTGTGTGTTGTTCCTATATGGCGCTGGTGCAGCGCTTCCCAGGCAATTCAGCCCTCAGCTCAGTTCAGGTTTGGTATCTTTCCACATTGCCATTTCTACTGCCACTGCCTGACCAGGCGGTCTGATCCTGTTCTCATTTCAGGCTGTTCTCTCACTGTGCCTGCCTTTCATCCCTTCTCCCTCTTCCCAGTGCCAACAGAAGTTCAATCATTTTTTCAAAACTGCTTCTAATTTTTCATGGTGAATCTGTTAAGTATGCCAGGTTTTAGGGTTTTCACAGTGACAGAAACACCTCCACAGAAGAACTGGAAGACATTCTATACCCCATATACTTTTCTGCAGAGCTGTAATTTGACATTTATGTTGCTGCTTTATCCCTGGTCTTTTCAGTTTAGGATATGTCTGCACAGTGGACAGTGGTAGAATATAAAACTCATTTTAAGTGTGGTGAAGTTCTGGAAACATCCTGGCTTCATCACTACAAGATCTACATATTATTTTTGTTAGCATAGATACAGTTTTGGGCCAGTTACCTCCAAGAAGGTGTGCCCAAATTTAGCTCAGTGTGAAACAGGAAAACACACAGCACTATTAAAGTGAAGGTTTGGTTGTAAAAAATAAAGCTTCAGATAAGAAATCTTCCACTATTCACAGTCGGCTAGGAAAGCACAAGAATCAGTCTGATTTACATGGGTGCTGCTATATTTGTGCAAATGCCTGTTTTTCACCTATGAAGACCTGTTTTCTAAATGACACTCCTCTTGTGCCTTGCAGAAACATCATTAATGACTGCAGACCAGTGCAAAAGCTTCATGTGCCTCTGTAGACACAGTTTTGCTTAGTACTCAGAGCATACAAACACTGGCTTTAAAGAAATGGCGCCGATGTATGTGCAGCAGCCAAGAAAAAAGACTTCTAAATTTCCTAAATTTCCTGAGAAAGACAGCACTCAGTTGCTGGGCTTTATATACTTCCTAAGCGTCTGTAGCTCAGGAAAATTTAATGATGTTCCCTTTCAAACATGCTGGTATCATGTCTCTGTAAAGGTTAGAGGCAAATTTACAATGTGCCACAGAGCGGTTGAGGACCGATCCATTTCCACTTCATGCAGGGAAATGGAGCCCAATAGCTGTGGCTCTCACTTTGCAATGGTTCCTTTGTCTACCAAGCTATGGTGGGGAAACTTTCCTATAAAGGTGTGTAACATACAGTGCAAGAGCATAGGCTTTCATGTTGCTAACCCACATAAATAGACATTGAGTGATGTCTGTTTAATTTGTGGTTTGTTTGCACAATATGACTTTTAAAAAGAAAACAACCAACACAAAGGATTTTATTTATTTATTTTATTTCTAGTAGAGATAGAAAAAGTAAAGAAATTACTAAGCAAAGGAAGAAAACAACAAACACCAGTTGCAAAGTTCTGACAGGCTACTCTAGTATGTAATGTGGAAATACTGGCAGTTTATTTCTCTTTCATTTGACTACCAATTCTGATAGCTGCTATTACATATTCATAGTTTCTGTAATCATAGAATCATTTTGGTTGGGAATGACCTCTGAGATCATCAAATCCAATCTTTAACCTAGCACTTCCAAGTCCATCACTAAACCATGTCACTAAGCTCTACAGCTGCACATTTTTGAGGACCTCCAGGGATAGTGACTCAACCACTTCCCTGGGCAGCCTTGTTTCAATGCTTCACAACCTTTTCAGTGAATTTTTTTCCTAATATACAACAGAAACCTCCCCTGGAGCAACTTGAGGCCATTTCCTATTTTTGTATTGCTTTTTGATTAGGAAAAGAGACTGATCCCCACCTCACTAAAACCTTCTTCAAGGTAGGAGAATGATAAGGTCTCCCCTGAGACTCTTTTTCTCTAGGCTAAACAACCCCAGTTCCCTCAGTCATTCCTTGTAGGACATGTTCTCTAAAATGTAGAAGGACCATATAATATGTATTAATTTTTCTGTTGTTGTTGTTTTCAGTGTTTTATAACAGAAGAAACATGGTTTATTTAGCAACTCCGTGTTTTTCAATTTTGAGTCTTTAATCTTCTGTAGATATTCTCCTCAGCCTTTATTTAAAAAATAGGCAAGTATTGTTTAAGAAAGAGTTATGATTATTACTTTGAATGCATGTTGGCATATATGTATGGGTATTTCTGTGACTTCAAGCTTAATTTGTACGTGTGTGAGGGATCTTCAATTTTCTATAATAAGTTCGTCTGACTGTTACTGAAGCTGTTGTTTCTGGCCCAGTCACCTGCCTGACAGAGCCACTCTAGGCTGAAAACATGACCAGAGCTTGCCATGCCTCACTGATCATTATTATTCTTTGCATTCAATGTACTGTTTTGTGACATTTTCCTGCATACTTTTTAAACTTTATTATTGATTGTAAATGCAATGAAACTAACAAAAGATGCAAACCAAGGGCTTCTCAATATTATTTCTGTGTTTTAGTGCATGGTCATGCTATATTTTCTCCAAGATAAGCCATCTGAACTTGGAATCATCCCTTACAAAGCTGTATTTTCTGTTACATTTTCAGAATGTGTTTCTGTTAATTCAAAATCATGTGTGATACAAATCAAAAGCTTGGAGAGCCGAGGGTTAATCTCCAGGACAGGCTCAAGACAAACCAGGTGTTGCAGGAAAGGTTAAAAGGGACAGATGAAGCTATTGCAATGCTTAATGGGGTGGCAGTAGGACTAATTATCTCAGCTGACTGCCAGGTGCTTGTTTGCTAAAATTTATAAAAGGATGTGGGGGAAGAAAGATATGGGTGGTGCTGTGAATTTTTTTTTTTTTGTGTTGGTATGGTGATTCAAAGGCCCTAGGTAGGTAGTGATTTTAATTTTATTTTGGAGGGATATTTCTCTCCGTTATGCGTTTTTCTCTTGCTGTAAGCTTCACTTGGGGCTGTGTAGTTCCATTCCATGTATATAGGCTAATAACTCAGACTAAGTTGCTGAGAGCTGCTCCTGTGAGTCCTATAAGTTTTGCAAGATACTCTGATTCAGCAATCAAATATTGATTTAGGAAATCTTCTCCTGTGTATGCTCTTTGGCTTTAGTTGTCTGCCTGTTATTTGTAAATAATGTCCATCAGAAGGTAACACAAAACATGGGAAGACAAATTACAGTCAGTGGGGTTTGTTGTGCCATTTTTGAGAAATAAGCTCTGAATGAGATGAAGTGCAGGGTTGTTTGCTGTTGTTTTTGTATTATTATTTTATTTTATTGAATGCAGCAATTCAAGGAGGAAAAAGTAACCTCTAAAGTGAGGAGCAGCGCTGCCAGCGAGAAAAACTCTGCCTCAGCAGCGTGCCGGGGTAAGCTGCAGTGCATTGGTGTGGTGTGGCAGGAGCAGATTGGAGAATCTGATGGCGGTCTCCTTTCGTTTACTGTCGCACTGGGTGGCAAGGGTAAAACAGCGATTGCTTGTGTGGTTAAGGAATATTAGGAAAGTACTGAACAAATTTAAGCTGTCTTCCCCTGCAATTTAGCTGCTGGAAATTATTGCGAGCTAGTATCATAAGATCAGTCAGTATGAAGAACCGTCATCTGAGAACATCTGTGTTTAAATGATCAAGCAGTGCTATCATAACGATTGCTTAATTTTCATAATATGTCCCATATATTTGTGTGACTAGCCATAACTAGCAACAGCATAGATTTCATTACTTTTGAAGAATTAAAGAAGTGGCCTAGAAGTGGGTCTTCTTGGTGTAGGTGGTGATATGATCATAAAAAACAGAGGGTGGTATGATGCTGGCATATCTGAAAGGCTAAGAAAGCCAGCATACTGCTTTAATGTCTGGAAAAGTTCCAGATTTAATGAGCATTTAAGCTCTTTTCTACTGTGGGAACAGCATAATGAATACTGACAAGCCTGGGTTGCATGTTGGCTGATGCAGCTGTCCTTAGGATTCATGGGCTTTAATAGCTGCACATCCCAAAGCTCTTGGCTGTTTTGAGTAACCCCCTGCTCTTGGGCTCAGTAGCCTTTTTGACAGTGAAAGCAAGTCAAAGGCTTGGAAAACTACTTTCTTGCTACTTCCAGAAGTGTCACTGTGTGAACAACAAAACTCCTCCTGTGTTTCATTGTGCTGTAAACAAATGCTGATCTTTATTATATACTATTCTGTGCATACATTTCTAGGGAGGAAAGTGGATATAAGTCCAGAATGCTACCACTGCCAAATAATTGTAGAATAAGCTTATTTTACTGAGCATAATGTCCTAATGCTAGTGAAAGGAACCAGTGGGGTTGTGTGACCCTTTGGCACAGCAGAACTGTTTATTACAACAGTTTTTATACTGACTGCAATGCAAGTAGGATTGTTTTCTTAGTGTTTGAAAAGGAAATAGCCATGTTAGCTAACACATGAATTGTGATGTTTTAGATTTACCTGATTCACAGTTAAGTAGTAAATGCTTGCTCTTATCCGATTCATAGGCAACATCAGGGAAGAATTCATCATTCCACAAAGATGAAGGTATGGAGAAAAGTAATTACAGCAAAATGTAGAGGAAAAATGCCAATGGTTATTCAGAATAGTAGAGGTAGTAGGTCTGTGGATACCTATGTATGAGATACAGGACTGCAGGCTTCTGTGTGTATTTAAAACACATTGCCCCAAATCCCCTGTTCAACTAGAGATACTCTAGTTGTACTCTAATGCTGAAGGTCGCTGTGAAGAAGGACCTCATGGAGACATCTGATTTACTTAGGGAATCCAGTCATAATGGCATGGCAGCACAATTCTTCCCTTGTTACAAGCCTGGCCATAACATCTTGTGCATTTATTATTTCTAGCGTAGAGACTGAAAGGTTCTTCAAGACTGATATCAGTTGGTTCAGACTACAGATTTTAGAAAGACTTTGCTTCAAATTCTGTGATTTAATTTCATACTCTTTGTTTGGTTAACACAGCAGGTGCATAGTAAAATATGGCTCTCAACAGGTGAATCTGATTCTGAAAGCAGCACTGGCAGGTGTGACCTCTAAGGAGTTCACACAGATAGCACCTTTCTGCATACAAAATACCCTTCTGGAACATTGGGTCACCTCAAAAAGCAGTAGAGAGTAGTAATGTTTTGGAGCTAGAGCAACTGCTTGTGAGAGACTCAGACTGAACGCACAGACTTCCTGAGTAACCAGGGGGTAGTGCTCTGTGCAGCAAGGACTGTCTAGTCTTGTAGTATTTTTGTATTTATTCTTTTAAAGAAGCAATTGGTGCAAAAGACTCCAGCTGAAATCAGGGCTCCAAGTGCTTTTGAATTTGCCTTTTGTTGAGTAAGCTGCTAATAGAATTTTACTTAACCCTTGATAATAACTCATACTTGTTTTAGGTTGGGAGGGGACCTGTGGGGATGACTAGTTTAAACCCTGGTCAGCTCCCCTGTTTTTCTGTGTAGGGAAAAATGCATGTAGCACTTTGAGTCTGGTCACAAATATTTTGGATAAAATACGATTTGTTCTTGATATATATATATATATATTTATATATTTTTTTTGTTTAGATAATTAAGTAGTCAGGCTACTTATTAGACTTAAGAATACCTAAATTTCATATTTGCTTTCAACTTCCAGTGTTCTCAGATGATAAACGAGAAGTCAGGGGTGTGAAATATTAACTTTTGGGCTTTGTGCTGACAACCAGCTTGTCCCCAGTACTCCAGAGCAGGGGTATTTGTGGTTTGGTCTGGATAAGCTTTCACCTTCCCTTCACCACTGTTAGTGATGTCTGTTCTTGCATAACATTTACAGGAGAATACCCTGTTCATATATTTTTCCCAAATTTGAAGCCTATGCAGTTAAACTTATGTTGAATACACCCATGTTTCTCCTGTTCAAATACTTTAAGGCTTGCTGATCAAAAATGCTTATCAAATTGAGCTAAATTAGTGTACTACAGATTTGGGATGCTCAATTTAGCGTTACTGTGAAAAATCCATTTGAGATAATAGACTTCGCCCTAGGGTTTTAGAAGAACCACAAAAAATCATTCTTGGATTGCTTATTAAAAATCAGTAATGTTGGGAAATATTTAATGCTTCAGTCTAATTCTTGACAAATATGACAAGTCTTCTTGGATAATCTGAAAGCCAACATGGAAAGATGCAAAGCAAGTCTAGGGAGGCCTGAAAATTGCCTCTGTTCTGCCACTATTGCTATCTGTTGTTTTTTTGCCTCGCCTGTTTTTAAATGTGGCCCAAGAATGGGGTGGTATCATGGCATTTACTGCTAATACAAAGCTGTTGGTCTCAAGACAAGCTCTTGGTTTCACACAACACTAGAATTTAGAAAAAGCACAATGTTAGTAGAGCCAGGTGAAATCTAATAGTACAGAGTGTAAAGTAATTCTCTTAGGAATAATAAGGAAGCTTTTTTGCTGTGAAACATGGCTTGTCATCTTGTTTCATTGGTAAATCATAGGAAAAGTATTTATCCCTAACGTCGGAGACTTTGCAGAAGCTTGGCAGGATAGGTTGAAATACTAATGCTAACACAAAAGGTGAAGTTTTTGCAATAACATGTATACTGTTGAAATAGCAAAGTCAAAGCTCTTTTTCATCCTCCATCGTTGAAGCTATCTGAGGATCCAGAGGCTTTGACTTTTGCCAAACCTAGCAAAGCTGAGCAGGTGCAGGCATGTAATTGCTCTTTACTTAACCTTGCTGTGTATTAACAAAAGGAGGAGAAGAGGGAAGCGGACAGTCAGGACAAATTTGTATGGGCAGACCATGGGTTCATTTAGGCTGCAAGTTAAGAGAGAGATTCTAGGTATCAGAGAAAAGACTATTCAATAAACTTTGACTAGAGTGGGAGGAAGAAGTCTTAACTGACTTTTAGACAGAAGCCTTCATAAATCTGTAGCATCTTTCTATCTACTCCTTTGCAGAAAACCATGTATTATGTCACACAGATTTTTGTAAATCCCATTAATTTCTCAGTGAAGTTGCACCCACCCCCCACCCCGCAGAGAACACTGCTAATTCTGAGTACAGAGGAGGCTGGCATCAGTTTAATTGCCCAGAAAGTCTTGTTGTCACCACTTTGAATGCTAGTTAAGCTGCTGCTTCCATTTTCCCTGCTGCTGGAGACTTTGCACCCTACTGAGCAAACAGGAACAGTCTGGAGTTTATCTGTGTTTCAATGTAGCAAACTGAGGATTGTCATTATGGAAAAAAGAATAAGCATTATAGCTTCCAACATTGTCTTCTGGACTGGATCCTGCAGGTTGGATTCTGTATCTGAGATGCTGTAAAATAACTTACTGGGGAAATTAAATGTCTTTTGTGAAGAACTTTTTCTGGAATAAGCAAAAGAGAAATGTTTCATTTATTAAGCAGGAAAAAGTTCAAAGATGTAGACATTAATTTTTTAGTATAATGCAACATGTGAAGACAAATGTGTTTAATAATGTCACTTTCTAAATAAAGAATAGTTTCTAGTACTGTCTGAAATACATAAAAGTACTTGTTTAGTCAAAGCAATGCTGCTTTTAAGTGTGCTGAAGTTCATTAGGTCTGTTCAGACAGACTTATATTCCTGCGAACTTGCGAGATGTGATAAGAGCTGAGCAAAAGTATACATTCAACACAATGTAAAGCTACGCTGAATATTGATTTTTATGGGAGTGCTGCATTTACTACACTTCAATACGGATTATGTGAAATATAGACTCCGGTTTGGAAGCAAGTGCCCTCAGAAGAAAATCTATTTTCTGAAGAAGAATACATGGTATAGAGAGCTATAAAATCAGTGATAGTGTGTCATTTTGGAGAAAGTTTCAGATACTGATGTGTTTCAGGGTTTTCAGTATAACCAAGTTTCAAAAAATGGCTCTCACCATGCTGTACTGTGTCCATGCGTTGCCTCTCTGGTGTGCAGTGCATCGTGACAGCAGTGGTGGTTCTTCAAGTTGTGCTGTCCAGCCTGTGGCTCAGTGTGCAGGATATACCAAATTTACTTTTGGTCAGTGATGGTTAAGAATTTTGCATGCAAAATTGAAGAGGAGGCGTTGGCTCTTCCTTGGAGTGTTAATTTGTGTTGACTTTGAAGGTCTTCATCAATTTAAATTTATCCAAGACTTCCCATATTTTTTCCCATTTTTAATGTGTTTGATGGCTAGCATATGAAGTGTAATGAGGGAAACGTGACAAAGTGAAATGATCTAGGAGAGGTACAAAACCTATAAGGAACGCGATTTAAATTGATGTGATTACATCTTTTCCTCCTGTGTGCTTTCAGGCAACAATCTCCTTCCTAGTGTGTGGAGGAATCGTTGAGTGAGGCAGGACATGTGAATGTTGAGCAGTTGGG